GTGCGCTGCCTACTATGCCACGCTCGCCCTCGATGAAATCAATTTCATTATTAAAGTTATTGTGTTATTATATATAATATTGTTACCTAGAAAGTATTATAATATTTTTTAAATTATTTAGAAAACACCTTAAAATTTTGAAAATATCTTGGAATAAATAAAATTATTTAAAAAAATATTATGTAAGAAAATATAAATGTGATATATTATTTAGTAATAAATAAAAAAGAAATTAAATTCTTAAAATAGATAAATGTTTTCTTTAATTAAATGTTTAAAAAATTAGATTGAAAAATTTAAAAAGAATTATTTTCAAAAAAGTCATTTTATTTATAACAAGACCGAAGTCACCTTTTAGTAACTCCAACTTGTTTACATGTTTACTTACTCGGACAAGATTATGGCTTGACAGACGGCTATAAAGAGCCATATAACAAAGCAGCATATCATGTTGGATTTAAACATATCCTCTCGTAATTGGTCGAACTGGAAAACAATTTTAATGAAAGTCTTTTTAATTTGTATATATTACTTGTATACATTTGTATTATTTGTATATATATTTTTTTTATTAAATTAGAAACTTAGAGGAAAATAATGACATGAGCGAATTTTGGATTCCTTACCTTGGATTCCAAACTCTCATCGTTATAACGTAAGGTCCATGTGTTTATGTTCGCCAATCTCATACGTTTGTTGCTGGCGGTCTCGATGGCGCCTTTCTTCTCGCCGGCTGTCATCGAGGCTGCCTTGTTGCTTGGTTTTGCCGGTTGACCGTTCTCCTCCTCCAAGTACTCGGATTCTAAGTTACTTACTGACGTAGCTGTATTCAACTATAATAAAAAAATAATAATTTTTGGCAGTAATTTCAGAGTACTATAATATATATACAAGTATTACAATAATACAAGTACTAATAAAAAAGGCATTACGAAATTAATCTATAATTAAAATAAATCATCAAATTTATTCAGGTGAAAAGACCAATAAAAGAATATTTTGTTATTGATCTAAATTATTAAATCAACAACTTAGTTAATTTATTATTAAGTGAATATTCATCTTAATTAGTATTCATTTTAATGCTCACATTTTCGAACGGAATTTCAGGTGTCCAGTCAACCCCGATGTCATCGTCCACGGAATTCGGGGTCGCATTACTGTTCACGGCATGTGGATTGTTCACTTTAAAGCTCTTCTTGTTCTTGTTCGCGGCCAACTCTTCCTCCGTCCAGACCTTCGGTTTAGACGATTGTCTTCGTCTGGATTTGAGGGGTTCCAGCTGCTTGATCAGATACGTTACGACATTTCTATCTTTCAGATAATTGTCTCGTTCACTACCATAGCCGGGTTCCACCTCGTAAACATCGTTCAAGCATTTGAGCGTGTCGGCGGAAATATGCACTCTCCTGTAACGAGATAAATTCCTCATTTTAATTTCCGTTTAGAATTTTGTAGATCAAAGACTTCATCAAGAATGAATTTAAGGATTTAAATATTTTCGAAAATTATGATTCTATATATTTTTTTCAACAAGGATAAAGGATTAAGAATCAAAATATATTAACATTTAATAAGCGTATTAATTAATCATAATTATTATACAATAATAAGTTTCTTTTTATACCCCGGTATTCCTCCGCTCTCGAGATGATTCGCAAGCGTTACGTCGTACGACCACACGTCAAACTGCCACTTCCGCAGACCCAAGACTCCGCACAGCACCGATCCGCTGTGAATTCCTATCCTCATGTTCAAATCCACCTGCGTCAGAAGAATATGAGAAAAACTTAACTTTGAAAACATTTAAAATTTGAAGCACTTTAGCTATTTTTAGAGCGCACACAGTCTCAGTACATCAGTAATGAATCTTTAGAAAATTTTCATTCCGAATTGAAGGGGAGATTTCAATACCTTCGTGGTGTATCTAACGTCTCGTATAGCCTTTATCATGTGCAGGCCCATCTCGACACAACAATGGGCGTGATCACTTCTGGCAATCGGCAGGCCTGAGATGCAGTAGTAACAGTCGCCAAGGAGCTTTATGCGCAGACAGTGATTTTCCGCCGAGAGCTTGTCGAAGCGGGCGAAGAGGTCGTTTAGGACCTTCACCAGCTCCTGGGCGCTGCACTGACTGGCCAGAGCTTTAACAAAATCATCGTGAGTTTGTCACAATTTTACAGAGTGTTTTGAAAAGTTTGGAAGTTAATTGCTCGGGAGATGATCCAAAAAACAAGAAAAATGGAAAAATAGTTGGTATGAGCATAAGTCCGAAAATGTGCTAAAACAGTCCAAACCTCTTATTTGACTTTAATTATAAAACTCATAAAGATCATCTCTTTTTTTCTATTTTGACAAAAAAATTCGAAAATAAAGCAATTTGAAATTTCAACATAAAAATGGTGATAATTCGAAAACCACGCATTTCCAGATTTATGTTCATATCAACTTTCTTTTGAATTCCAATTCATCCTCCAAGTGATTGATTTTCGATCGATTCATTAAATATATAATTTATAACATCTATAATATATATATATATATATATTTATAATATATAAATATAAAATCTCTATTTTATTTAATTATATGTGTAATTAAATTTTAAATTTGTACGAAAACTTGGAATTGTTCGCGGATAAATCTATCATGTCTCTAAACCAAATGCAGCGTACCGGTGAATCCTTTGATGTCGGCGAACAGAATGCTGACGTTCTCATATCGGTGGATGTATATCCGGTGGAACTGATTGGGCGTGAAGGATATCGTCCCGCCACGTGCCGTCTCGCGGGCGATGTCGCGGATCATTTCCTTGGCGACAAAGTCGGGCAGCACTTTAATGGAATTGAAGTTAATTATATCTTCTCTTCGCATATCGACAATGAAATACGTAGCTCAAGACTTCGCGGAATCTCTCCGATCGTTTCGGAGTGGATTTCCTGTCATAGTGAAAAAAAATTGTTTGTCGTAAATCAGTATTTCTCGCATTTTTATAACTTATTCCCTCAGTTGCCGAAGAGAAACGCATTCAAGCGTGGTTGTGAAGCTGAAAAATAAGACTCCGCTTTCCGCTTCGGAAGGCTTAACCATCGGGAAGCTTCCCAATTTTCGCCGGCTTACGATTTTATGGTACTTAGAATGTTAATTCGCTGAAAACAAAACAATCTTACGAGAGCGTTACGAGAGCGAGTGATAGTGGGTCAAAGATGATATTTATGTAATCCAGCGTAATGTACCCCCCGACGACGGATGATATTTTCGTAGCGGCCGCTACGAGGAGAGCGGCGACGGATCGATGTATCGGATGTGAGATCGTGAGGCGACGTAACACGCAAAAGGCTATTGGAAAAACGTGCGTCCAACCGGCGCAATCGGCCGAGAGAGTGTCTAGTGACCCTTTTTGACACTCGGCCGAGCAAGTTACACGGACGAGCGGCGGCGGAGTTTACCCGCCGCGTGTTACAATAAATATGCACATAAATATCCAGCCTAGTTACGACCCCCGCGGCGACGTGCGCGCGCGCGCACGCGCGCGCGCGCGCGGCCTCGCGTCGTCTTTCTCTTCGAAAGCTGCGAGAGGAGCTCTCAAAGATTCCCTCCAGTTTCACACAGCCGAGAATACTAATCTATCGGA